CATGGCCCCGCCCCAAGCACACCTGCCTGCCCCCCGGTGGGACGTGCCCCAGGTGTGCCAGGCAAACAGGGTGGAGCTGCCCAGCTCTCACTGCGCGTTCCCTTTCGGGCACTGCGCCAAGCGGCCTATCGGGAAGCAGTAAAAATAGTGGCAATTCTCATCATCATTAACAGGTTTCTGTAGCCTGAGCCAGAAACCTCTCAACCCGAGGCCTGCCCCACCCGCCACACACATTGCTAAGGCTAGTGCTGCGCCCAGGTGAGTCAACGTCCACGTCTCAAACTCACGCTGACCCTTTCCCTGAAACACATGCCCACGCGCGGAGCCCGCGTCCCGGCGTGGATGGGGCCTCTGCTGGGGCTGGGCAGCCTGCTGCTCCCCCCAGACTGCCGCTCCATGAGCACAGGCCTGCATGCCTCACGTGCACATGGGGCCAGTCTGCTGGCACGTGGATGGCAGGTAGACGGCCCCGCCTCACCTGGTCAGGAGGGGAACCAGCTATTCTGCGCCCGGCCCCCTGGGCCCCACTCTCCACCAGGGCCAGGGTGCAGGGGCCCCAGAAGCAACCGAGATGCGCTCAGTAGGTGCGCAGATAAGCTGCCCATCCAGACAAGGAGCGCGTCCAGCCGTGAGAGCGAATCTGCTTCAAGGACGCGGGCCTTACCCACTGCCCCGGAGGAGGCTGCGACCGTGTGGTCCCCACCGGACGTGCGCACAGAGCAAAGCTGTGGGCACCGCACAGAAGGCAGTGGCTGCCAGGCCCGCGGGAGGTGGGGGGGGGGACACGACAGACAGACCCACAGAAAGCACGCCGCCAAGGGAACCCCAGTGCACGCTGTAGACTCCGTGGCACTGCTGTGCCAGTCGGGTCATCAGTGTGACAGCGTGGCCGCCCCGGGGCTGGCTGCTGACCATGGGGAGGCTGTGCGGTGTGGGGCAGGCCATGCAGAGGTAAAAATAAATAAGTAAATACCTAAGGGTACAAACTCTCAGTGATCAGAGATCTTACCCGTGAGCTGCCACAGGTAACGTGCAGTGCCTGGCAGCTGACCCCTGCACAGCACGAAGGCGGACATAAACTAAACCCACGACCAGCAACGCTGCCCACGCCCAGGCCAGGCCCCAGGAAACGACAGACCAGGAATCTAAGAGCTGACGGCTGGCTGAGGCCTAACGAGGAACCGCCCAGCGGCCCCTCCAGAGGCTGAGAAGCAGGTGAGACCTCTGGCTTCATGACCCACGTGAAGAAAATGACAGGTAACCGGGACCCCTCTCCTCGCCAGGGGACCCGAGACTCCCACAGCGTGTCCCCCAGGCACACAGGTCCCCCGTCTCCTCGCTAGGGGACCCGAGACTCCCACAGCGTGTCCCCCAGGAGCACAGATCCCCCGTCTCAGCCTCACCCATTTTACAGACGCTGGACCGGGTCCGCCCCCTTTCCTCTGCCAGAGGGGAACGCGGGCGGAGGACCAGGCTCTGAGGCTCCACGGGGGCCTCCGCCGACGCACTGAGCAGCGTCCTCTGCAGGTGAGCCCGCTGCACTGGAGTCTCCCCTGCGGCTCCGGGCGGAGGCTCCTCTGGCAGCTCGCCCACTAAGCGACAGACACCCGCGTCTGCTGAGCAATCAGCCCGCGTGCGGGGGGCAGCCTGTACCCGGCCCCCGCGCCACACAGCTGCTCTGCAGCCTCGGAACACGGAAACGCCGCAGTGACGCCCAGCCAGCGGGTCACCGGCGGGACTGCTCCCGGCACCCGCAGCCGTGTGGTCACTTCCCAACAGGTCGCTTGTCCCCACCCAGCCAGCCCGCTTCCCACAGGCAGGCACCAAGCGGGGCTTCCTGGCGTCACCAGGCTCACAGGGCCAACAGGGTCAGCACAGGCCTCCGACGCCGGGGTGTGCGATGCTGGGACCCAGAAACACAGCCGGCTCGTGGGAGCAGGAGGAGCGAGAGGGGCCTGGGCTGCCCCCGGACCCTGGGGAAGGGGATGGTGGTCTCGGGTCTCAGCCGCGGGCAGGAATGGTCAGGGTCCAAACACAGACACATCCCTGCACCCAGCACGGGCCTGGCAGAGGGTCCAGTCACTCAATGGTCCACCCCACAGCCTCTAACCCACACCACCCCCTGGCTCCCGGCTCCTCCAAACACAGGCTGCTTTGGGGGAAGTGACCATCAAAAGAGGAGCCAGAAAAGGGGGCTGGCTTAAGACCCCTCCCCACTACCAATCAGAGCTGCAAAGCAGGAAGGACCCTGGCCTCCCACTAAGCACTGAGTGACCTCTGACCTCTGGCTCTTGGCTTAAGGGTGAGCCCCTGCTCCACGCACCCTCCCCCTCCCCCCGCCCGCACATGCAGGCACACGCCCGGGATTCCTGGCCTTCTCCACAATCCAGCCTCCCGGACTGCAGGCCCCACCCGT